TCCCATCATGCCTATGGATGTATCTTGGTACCAGCTCCTGCCCCACATCCCCAAGGGATGGCTGATATACCTGGGAGTGAAGTGCCAGCCCTGGGAGCGAGTCTTTGGCCAGTATGGGGTTTTAATAGGAAAAAAGAGAAATTTACATTGATATAAAAGAAATCCCTACACCAGAGCACTTCTCTGGCTATACTGCAGTCCTGGTCAGGGAGAGGTGACCTCTATGGCCACAGCCCCCCCCCAACCTGCACACCGTGTCCCCAGGGATGGGGCGTGGCCGGGACATCCTCACTGGGTGCTGACATCCTCATAGTCCACGTGCCCCGGGAGTTGTCCCGGGAGGTCCCTTGTGGCTCCAGGGGGACTTGGAGGGGGGCAGCTCCCACCTTGGGGACAGCAAAGGCAGGTGCCTGAGGGGGACAGCTCCGTGTCCCCCCTCCAGACCCCACCTAGGGTGTTTCCACAGCCCCCGTGGATCTGGTGCAAGACCCCAGCCCACCACTGCAGCCAAACCCCCCGTGGAGTGGCTCTCCAGGGCAGACAGGGCAGCTGTGGTCCCTCTTACCTGTGGGTGGGACACAGATCAAGCTCCTCTGTGCCACCCGCTCAGAGATGTCCCCAGTGCTGGCAGCGGGGGACTCCTCTGGCACGGATGTGGCATCATCGTAGTCATCCAGGGTTCCGAGACCGGGCAGGACAGGTGGGGCTGGGATTGCAATGGAGGTACGTGGCACTGACCCGAGGGCCATGGCAGGGGCTGGCTGTGCCATCCCCCTCCGGCCGTGCCACCCCTCTCCAGCCGTGCCACCAGGGATGTGCTGGTGGCCCTTGGTCCCTCAGGGAAAGGCGATGCTTCTCCGCCCACAGACGAGGGGGTTGTGTCCCCCCATCTCCCCAGCCCTGGCGTGTCCCCTGTCCCCAACTCTCCCCACTGGGTTCCTGCCCTGTGCCCCTACCTGGGGCTGCCCCAGTGTCACTCCCCTCCACACTGTCCCCAGTGTAATACAGCAGCTTCTTCACTGATCCCTCCCGCGGGGAACCTGGAGGGGGAAGACACGGTGTTGGGGGTGACCGGAGGTGGCACCGCGGGTGACACAACCTCAGCCACAGAGCACGGCTGTGATGGGACCGAGGAAACCCCCACCACGGGGAGGAGCCAGTGCTGTGCCACCAGGCCCCGCTGCTGCGGTGGGACTGTGGGACAGAGCCCGCCTGTGCGGGCAGAGCTGGGGCACGGGGGGCTGCGCCGACCTGGGTGACTGGGCACCTCCTGGTACTCCGGCATGGCGGTGTAGTCCAGCTCCTCGTAGATGGCGTCGGGGATGGCACCCACGGGTCTGCCGGGGCCTGGAACAAGAGGCAGCGCTCACCCAGGGCCGTGGGCACCGTGGGTGGCACCGGGGTCACCCATCGCCCACCCTCCGAGCCGTTCCACACGGGGAGAGTCCCTGAACCCCCAAACCGGCTCTGTCCCGGTACCTCCCCACCGGGACCCACCTCGGCACCAAGCGCGGGCACGGCACATCAGCACGGCCAGGGCGCCCAGGGCCAGGCACAGCAGCGTCCCCAGGACCGCGCACAGGACCACTGGAACCGACACAGTCCCCCTGGCCTCCTGCCCGCTTGGCACCGGAA